GGCCATGCCTGACAGAGTAGCTGTGATGGACAGTAGTCCGACGGCTGTCGTGCTCATCTTTAGTTCTGTGCGCGCAAATAGAATGGCAGTACCGGATACCGTCGCCATCGCGTCTGAAAGGAGGAACCAGGCAACGAGGAAGATAATTACTTCTCGGAGTTTGACTGCTACTTTGACCGTCTTCCACAGTGACTTCCACGCAAACCCAATCAGCCGCAGCCAGATGCGCCACCGGCTGTTACCCGCTGGTCCTTTTGAAGAATTAAGGGGAGGCCCGGGTCTGTCCCGCAGCAACCGCCGAGAGACCATGGTGAAAGAGAACCACCAGATTCCGACCAAAAGAAGCACAAACCGGAGAGGCAGAGTCCCTGAAATTTTGGGTAATGATGTCTTTGACAGCGCAAAAAGCATCAAGATACTGAGTATCTGTACCAAAACGGCCGCACAGTAGCCGAGTCCAACGCCTTTAGAGGAGATTCGAGTGGACAATTGTAATTCAGGCGAACCTGAACCCGCTGCTTTTGCCTTAAGTCCATATCCGGTCGTAAAATGGTCGCCAGAATTCCTGGCGTTTTCTTCGTCAAGATCTTCCGCTCGCGCAAACTCTCCGCTTGAGTGGAGAGGCGATAACTCTTCCCCTTCCTCCTTGTGTGCGGTCTGAATCGATAGGTCGTTGGCTACGAGAACGGGCAGAAAGGAATTGAGAACGACGAACGATGATCCAAGGCAAGTCACACCGACGACGACGAGAAGCGATCCAAGGATAAAGACTGGTGGCGCGATGAAGATGAATAACATGCTCGTGATCGAGCCAATGAATCCAAATGCGAGGAGGAGGGTTTTACGGTTATTTTCTGCGCGGGAGATAATTAACGTCAGCACAGTCTTACCAATACGGTATAAAGCTGGTCCTCACCGTAGTCAGCCAGCGCGCTGAAAGAGATCAAGGTCAATGCCTGAACGAGAACCGCAAGCGAGAACGTGTACATGGCAAAGCTGGCAGTGTTGACCTGCAGCCCCAACACGCTGACCACACACTGATCATTATCCGTGCCATCGCGTCTGAGCGTTGCCGTAGCCGTTCCATTTCCAGGGGCTGTAGAAGGCGAGTTAGAGCCTACGCATGGTAGGTGGCTCGACAGCAGGGTTCCGCGTTCGCGAGCCAGTTGCTCTATTGTGAGTGGTAGGAATGAGCCTGTTTCATAAGGGATTAATCAGAATTGAGCTCTCACAGACAAGGTAGATCGAAGAATAAGTCAGCGTACCCACACCACAAACAGCAAAGACCTCAGCTGCGATTCCGTACGCGTACCAGCCCCAGATCTCCTTCGGACTGGTCGGGGTTGTGTCCTCGCCGGGATACCGAGGCGGGCGCTGTTGGGCCTCCGCGCCGGGAGACGCGGGCGGGGTGGAGGCCAAAACCATGAAGATATATTGAGTACGGAGCGAGGGAACCGAGTGAGGATTCAATATATCTTCACAATGGCCACCATGGCACAGAGCAAGCGGAATACTGCGAAGATGAATGCATGATTGCGAACATTCTTCTTGCTTGACTGTTGACGCAACTTGTCTCTGTGCTGATTCATCATCAAGCCGGATGTTGCGGAAGCTCGAATACATGCTGTGATTGGCTCGTTCGATCTATATGATGGGGTCTCCCAGTATGCGCGAAATAAACACATTCCGACAAGTATCTCGAGAATCGAGACTGATCTATGGATATCTATGGCAGCTGCAAAGCCCCAGTGGCGCCTTGGTCTATGTTGGCCAGAGGTTCAGATATTGCCCATCCTCCGAGCACTTGTTGTAGAGCAAAGCTGGGTGCATCTTTCTGATTGCCAGAGACTCAATAATTATGCTCGAATATCTGTCAACAAAGGGAAAATTGAGAGCATGCATGACAATTGAGTCCGATAAAGGGAGTCATCACCGTTGTGGTTGCATACGATACTCCCGAAATCTCTTAACTGTACTTGAGGTTGGTTCTGGTCGGAGAGAAGTTCCACTCCACACAATCAATCCGACTTGTCGTACATGAGAAGGGGTGAGTTTGCAAGACGCATTCCACAAACTTCTTGGCTTTTTGGTCTACTGGAAGAGAGACCGCATAATTCGCCGAACTCCAGTACTGTCGCCTCCTAAACACAGTGCCTCATGAAGTCATCCAGAAGTGGAAGCAGCACCCGCTACCGGGCCGGTTCAGGCAGACCTTCCTCATTTTATACAAATAACAACACCCAGCAGTAGCTTTCGTATCCTTCCTCTCCCAGGTACTATCTGTTTCTTTCACTTTATCTTATTTTTTCACTGGCTCTCGGACCAGATTAAATCAAGCTCACGCTCGACTCTTCTCGAAGTGGTTGCTCAAAGTCAAGCACTCAATCTCCGTTGCTATCCCGGCATCTGGGTTGACTGGTGCTAGCCAGCAAAATGACCGGGATCCTTGACTACCTCCAGTGCGCTCTGGGGAAGCTTTTTTATCGCGTACGTGGCCATGATTCGAAGCAGATCATCAGAGGTGCTGCTTTCAAAGACCTTCCCGAACCCAACATGACCCTTGAAGCGCCAGAATGTGGTCCCACCGGCTCAGTACTGCTTGACTTCCATACTTGTCTCGCCGAGGACAGCAAGGGAAGGTTCCCTGAGCTTCGCTGGACTCCTCCTCCTCAGGGTGACGTGAAGGAGTATGTGCTGATCTGCGAGGACATTGACCTGCCAATTCCACGTCTCGTGATCCATCATGGGCTGTTTTTCGGTATCCCTCCCACAACCACCACAGCAACACATGCCGACATCAAACAGAAAAATGACGCAGGAGAACGACTGACTCGCTCTAATTGGAAGTATGTTCCTAATCTCACCGGCAATTCTTATATTGGTCCCGCTCCACCTCTGGGTCACGGCTTGCACCGGTACATTTTCACCATTATCGCACTCAACGAGCCTCTCCAGTTCGACCAAGGAGAACAGGTCAGCAAGCAAATGATCAAAGAGGCCATGGTTGGCAAAGTCATTGGCTGGGGTCAGTGGGTCGGACTTTGGGAGCGCCCTTGGCCCAAATAAGCATACGCCCAAGGTTCTTCATCGATCATGACAAAGTTACGAGACTATCATACCCTCGAGTGGAGGCAAGGAGAGCATGGGAAGGATTCACTGAATTATGATTAGCAGGGAAGTAATGAGGTTGAACCGGTAAACTGGTGGCTCCATGTATGCACTTAGTTCTCTCCATCTCATCCCTACAAGCGAAAAAAGTTCTTGAAAACACATGAAACTCTATTCAAAGACAGATGAACCACCCCCACCCTCCTATCTTATAATACGGTACAGCTGATCCCTCGCGCAGGGTCGATAACCACGTCGTTTCAACTAGGTATGTCAGTCAAATTCCACAAACGAGAAACAAGCAGGACGCAAGGCTCACTGAACTGGAGCTGAAACTGTTCCATGAATATCACTAGTCGGTGAACGATGGACTCTATTGAAGCGTCCCAGGATCGAAACGACACCGTCCCAGTACGGCGCGTATGCACAGTCTCCTTTGGTCGCGCCCGCATGACGTCCCTGAGAGCTTCCAGAAGCCCCAGCAGCCTCATGAGATTGCGACTTAGCAGCATGCGTACAAGCAGAACTGACTCCTCCTCGTTGAGCTCCGTTTGCCCCAGCAGCACAGCACTTCTAACACAAATAAACGGAGGTAGCTGCTGTTCGAAGGCAAGAATTGTCGGGTCGAACAAGGTGTTCTGCCGATTGATACTGTACGCCGCACAAATCGCCTCAAATAGGAGGAGACATTGTTCTGCTAATGTGGGAAAGGTCATTATGGATGCTTGGGCGCTTCTGCTGCAGTCCTTGCATTTGATAATCGCTTGGCCTTGGCTGCAGACACGATGAATCAAATCAAACACTGTTCCAATTTCCACAACAGTGTGAATGTCACGGAGTTCGTTCATGAGATGCAGCACTTCCATGGAACATTGGCACCTATTCTCCGTCTCCATTGTTGATGTGATGTCGTGAAGACTCCGATGATGAAAAATGTGGGGATACTGGAGTGAAAGACGAGGTCCGGGTCAGATATCTTGACAATGCGTGCGGACATTGCTAACAACATCGACATTGTCGAGTGAGGACTGCCGTGGTACGAATCAAGGGACAAGCCCTCTTCCGAGCTGAAAGACCAATGGCTGCCATGAGGGTTGCAGTGACTCCCACGGCTCCGTGCTATTCACATGCACAATCGCATTCTACCATGGAAGCCAATCAAAACAGCGTTTGGAATACACTTCCCGTTAGAACATTGATAAGACGGCCTCACCATTCTCTGCAGTTGACTGGGCGGATCCGAATGGCCTGCCCCTGAACAACCGTGATTAATGTGGCACACGCACGTTTCCCTGGCCAGCTGGAGGTCACACCAATTTCGACAGCAACATTGCGAAAGTCATGTTTGCGAAGGATCAATGATAGAGTAGCGGTGATATTTGACGCAGGGACATCATCATGCTGACGGGTGTAAGTTTTGTTCTGACTTTCTACTAAGCTGCACACTACTGAGCGAGAGAGCTAGGAACAGGCACAATTCAGGGAGATCACGAGGCCGATTCGATCACCGATTTCGGTTCTTGAGATTGGGAATTGATATTAATGAATCATTCAGGCATTGCTTGAAGAGACTATGCGACTATGTCTGCCGCAATAGACAAGTATATCGCTACAGAACCCACTATCATCGTCACCTGGTGAACATCCTCATCCTCATCATAAACAGCTGTAATCTCCGATCCGTATCCATCAACATGCTCAACTTTCCACGCGAAGCAGGTATGGCCAGAATCTGCTGCGTACAATACCTTATGCGGCGGATGATGGCCAATAGTCCAGTCAGCCTTGCGTACAACACTTGATGTACGAAGAGACATCTCTCCTCCAGCGGAACACAGAAGCCACCGACCATTAAAGGACAATTCTCTACCTCGGCCCTGAAATGAAAAATACTACTTGCGTGCCTTCGGTTGCTCCCATCCATCGCACTTTCCTGTGCAAAATCGGGCTGAAGAAGCATATGATCGTGCAACTCAGGCAAAACGCCTTCTATCAAACGACCGTCCCCAGATATGAGGTCTTCAAGTGTTGTGATCAAACTATCAATGCTAACAACCACCACCATGAGGAGATTAACTCGTGTCTTGGAACAGAGAGCACATTGCAGAATAGTTTCTGCCAAATGTTGCACGATTCGCTGAGAGCCCAAGACGGAATCAATCGTAAGTGATTGTCCTGTTCGAGAGGTACAAATGTTTATACGGACGAGTTCTCTGATAATTTGGTCGGGGCACTGACATTGACACTGGCGACCAGTCGCAGTAGTCACGGGCGTGAGGCTCGGAGAAAGATTATTACTTGGAGAACCAACGTCATTCGGTTGCTTCCAAGCTCTTGAATGGGCAAGCAGATTGGCTTGTTCTGTTGCAGTCCATGATTTTCCAGACAGCCCCTCTGCCATTGAGAACTGCTGAGATCTGAGGGAAGCGCCTTTCTCGAGGAATTCAGGATAAGAGGCTTGAGTCGTCGCAAGGCACTGAGTACTGCTGGTAACTGTCTCGGTGGGCACGGGGTCATCTGCGAGATAAAGGCTCACCGTCGGCGGGTGATTCTCTCCTACCGGCGGCGACGTGGGAAAGCTCTTCGGTAAGGACTCCGAATCATTGTACCCCTGTTTCAAGACAGCCAACTGCCTATCATTCTTGGGGTTTTCGAGGGCCAGCGCATCAAAGAGATCGCTCTCCTGTGCGAGTTCGGGACCTTGCTGAGAGAGAAATTCTTGCAGCCAGCTGTCAGAGGAAAAATCGATGGCATCGTTGACTATGGTACATGTTCGTCAATGAATTTGCCTGGTTACGTCTCTCAGAAAGTGTAGTCTACCTGCAAATGATGGCAGTTGATCCTTTTCGCCAAAGGTCGGCGTACTCAGATTAGTGTCATCGAGGGAGATATCGTCTAGCATAGTCTGGTCGACGGCAATGGTGTCATATGCTACTGTTTCTCCAAATCCCTGTGGGAAGTCGACTTCGTCATCCTTCTTATTGTGCACCTGGCCTTCCTTTGCTTTTCTCTTGGAAACTGGTGCCTTCTTATCTCGTTGGTTACGGCGAGGGTCAACGCGCTGCGTATCCGGTGGGAGGCCGGCGTATTGGGACTCCCTCCTTTTGGCTGGTCTTCCCAGCCGCCGAGACATGCTGTAGATGCACTCGATGTTATGCTTCAGGCACCTTCGGCAAGACGGCTTCTCATGGCTACACCGTATCTTGGCCTGTTGGCATGCGTTGCAGGTCGAACGCACTTTAACGCTCTTGGGAAGTCGATCAGGGGATGGCTTCGACTGTTTGTTTCGGTTCATCCCGACGCAAGAGAGGCACGACCGAGAATGAAGATACTGTTCTGGGCAGTAGGTGTCTTCCTGTTCCAGCCAATTCATTCTCTTACCGTGGTTTGTATATACGAGTGGATTGCAATTTGGCACTGACGGTCTTCCGTGCATCGATGGACTAGAACGTCTCTTCCTATTCCCATTCCCTTAAGCCGACAATTGAGAGTGCGAACAGACCATGAGGTAGCATTGACACTGCAGCCTTCTAGCCATTCATGTTACATGGTTCATGTTTCACGGACGATGGATGCTGAGACCTGGAATACCGAGGCGAGTCATCCAATATTGATAGAATACATGCATGCTCTGCGTATGCGTTGCAATTCCGCTGTGAGAATTGTACTATGCTGATGTGTGCCTGATGGTTACACAGAGCAACGTCTCTGCTTCTTCTTGCATATCACGTTTGACAGGGCGTCCAAAAAGCAGTCTGACATGATTACTTTTCGAATTTGATTCGCTTCATCGAGCAATGTAAAGTTCCAGCTACGGTCTTGATACACGCTGACTGTCCTACATGGAATTATATGACCACCTGCTGCTGATCGACCCCGTAATTTGCCTCCATGGGAATGATGCCCATGCTCTTCGGTTCCTCCGTCCTGCATGGAGCCGATCTGAACCACGTTGTGGTGGGCACCAATCCTCCTGACACCGTTGTCGTCGTCGTTGCTGCATCATTGTCGACGTAGAAGAAATTGCCTGCTACTGGCGGTCTCAACCCAGCGATCTCAACAAATTGTTTGATATCAAACCCTCCTCTCCCCTCTCTTGTCGGGGGAAAAATGTGCCCAAAGCATTCTGGAAACACATAGTCAGGGTCCTGCTCGTAGAGAAGATAGACGTATCGATGGCGTGTGTACGGTGGCGATTGGGGCGCGATGTATTCTGCTCCAGGGGAAGTCCTGTTGACTAGCCATCCATTCCCATTGCCGTTGCAGTGACTCGTAGCAGATGCCGTCATGTGCGGCTGGTACCAATGTAAGACTGTTGTCGAGCAGGATTCCAAGACCACGTCGATGTCGACGAAGAGGAGGAGGTAGGTGCGCGCGGCGTTGAGGTTCAGAGTGCTGATACATGGTATCGGGAGAGCATCTGTTGGTTTCCACTCGCATAAGCTCCAGTCTATATCCGTTAGTAGGATTGTGATGGACGTACCTGGTTGTTTGATGGTACTGCCTGGAGAGATCCAGGGAGTCGAGGGGTATCGCATCTGGAGAGTAGGAGTTCCCGGCGGAAGAGTCCACTGTGCTGAGGGTATGGCTGTGAATAAGATAAATTGGATAATTGTGTTCATGGTGACTACGAAATACACCAAAAAATGTCCAAAATCCTGATAGATCGACTACCTGTCTGCTCCAGGAGACGGAGAGCTGACAGATGAATTTATACGCAGCAGGATGCCAAAACTAACAAAAAGAGCGCTGTGTAACTTGTATACTTCCGGGAAATAAACAAGCATGAATAAAACCGTTCAGATGTCTCCTATCTCATCCAGCAATTGCAATTTCTGCAACCCGCTTTCGTCTCCATATCAATCCTTTCCAATAGACCATCCCCAGTAACGGACTCACACTCAACATCGCCCCCGCCACAGCCCAGTACGTAGTCTGATTCCCCCATTTCAGTATCATCGGATGGATGATGGCCGTCGCGGCCGCGCCCAGGAAGCATCGTACGAGGTTATTGGCCGCCATGGCGGTGGCCGGCGTGGTGTAGTACAGATCCACGATGAGGACGTTCATCACATTGTATGCGGCCGTGACGCAGAACGAGATGAGGAACACGAGGGTCAGCGCCATGTTCAGTGGCGGTTTGCTTTCTATCAGTGCGCCGTACCAGGCGACTGAAAGTGCTGCTGCGGTCTGCTACTTATCAGCTCGTTGCAACTACAACTGCAACCCTTGAGGTATGTTGGGGTGGTTGGGGGGG